AGATTGAATTTTTACTTTAAAATTTTAATCGATTATTTAAAAAATCTGATTTATTTTATGATAAATTTTACGTAGATAAAAAAGTTTTAAACAAATATATTTAAAATAATAAATATGGTATTATTTCATATTTTCAAGCAATATAGACAAAATAATAATTTATATTATTTGATATCAAATATTCAAAGAATTGGTTGCTTTGCGATTAATATTCTAGTATATATAATTAGTTTCCATTCTCTCTCTCTCTCAAATTCTCATTGAAAAAATTTTCTTCCTCTAAAAGTGTTACTGTTTTAAAGTCGTTTTCTGGTCTGCCGGTCCGGTTTGTAGATTTGTATATCTGTTATTTTCCTGTTTTTGTTTGGTCGGTTCTCCATCTAGATCCGGATTTGGTCGGTTAGATCAGTGTTTGGATCTGTTTTCCAATCAGTTAGGATCTAGGTTGGATTTGCTTCGCTTCCGTATATATCGGATATATCTGTGACTGTGTTCGGTTGTTTCCGCCGGCTAAGTCCGGGTTTCTCTCTCGTTTTTGGGAGAGTAGATCTCTTTCCCTCTGCGTTTTACTCCGTCAAAGTTTCTTTGTTTGTCTTCAAATTTTCTTCGTCTCCTTCAGTTTCTCGAGGAGTAATATCTTCGTCACTTTATTTTGCTCAAGTTATCGAGCAATCATGAAGATTACATCATTATGTGGGTGTAGTCGGTGATGGAGCTTCCCCGGATTTGTTGGTGTTTTGAAGACTTTTTGAAGCGGATCTTCAGGAGTTTTCAGTAGATCTTGGCGCTATTTCTATGGGACTAGAGATCAACAGAAGGGAAGCGGATTGGTGGTGGCCGGAAAGAGTTCAGCGGTGGCCGGAGATTGAAGACGGTGGTGCTGGATCTCGGATGCGTGAATGTGCCTTCGAGAAGATACAATCTTGAACACGTGTTCTAAGCTACATCTTTTGGGCTTGTTTTGTTTAATTTTATGTAACATGAATTTAGTTTAATGGGCCTTCTGCTAATTGTTTCTCTTCTGTAATTGCCTTTGGGCTTCTCTAATAATATATGTTGTCGACTAAAAAAAATTTAAAATATATATATATATATATTTTTTTTCTTTTTCATGAGAGATTTAAATATATATATATATAAAATTTCGATTCCTTATGAGTAGTATATAAAGATAAATATAGTGGGTTTTTGTTTATTAAACCCATTTAATTAATTCAAAAGAACATGATCATGGATAGTATATAAGGGTAAATATCATGCCTTCCCTCTCTCTGCCACATCTCTGTCCCTATAATATCCCTAATCTGCTTTCTTTTGCTTCTGTCTCTGCTTCAAGTTCTCGTCTTACTCTCGCTATTCTGCTTTGTCTAACACCCTACTATTATAAAAAAGGTTGGTAGTGAAATAGCATTATTTTAGTGATTGTTACCAAAAT